CCCCCCCCCATTACAGACCCTCCGCTGGTATTGTGTAACGACTAATAACAGATATAATAATAATAATAATAATAATAATAATAATAATAATAATAATAATAATAATATTTCTTGTATGTAGCACATTCCATAGTCTTACGTGCACATTTAAGTGTTAAAACAATAACAGCATGAAAACTTCTGAAGAGTAGCAGCCCTAAAATACAAACTTACTACAAAAAGTTTAAAAAATAAATCATAAAACCTTTAAAAAGATGAGTTTAAAAAAAAAAGACTTCAAAACTGTCTTCAAAAATGACTTTTAGATCTTATATAAAGAGGCAGTCCGGTCCACAATTTTGGGACATAAACACTAAAAGCCTTGTTTTCATAAAATTTGTAACACTATCTCTTTGATTCGCAATGGCTAAGCGCAAAATTGTTATAAAAAGAATTTCTAATTTCTATCAAAAGAACCTGACACGTAGGCGGGCGACACTCCGTTAACATAGAGTCAAAGCATTGCTGTGTATACTGGAACCGTTGCCTAGCACCACGCCTTAGACCCCATTTCCATATCTAGATCGATCTAGCAGGCTCGACCCATCTCCGAGGGGATTCTCGCTGAACTGCATTCAGATTAAGCGGCTTAGATGCCTGGCCTGCTTACTGAAGCTACGTAACGATGACTAATTATCCCCTAACAGCTTCAGTAGGCGTGCCAGACATCAGAGCCGCTTCAGATGAATGTTAGTTAGCGAGAATTGGATCGATCCTGCTAGATCGATCTAGGTATGAGAAGGGGGTCTTACATTGCGGTCATATCCAGTAAGTTTTGTCTGATGAAATAGTTCATAAATTGAATTAGGATGCAATAACAAGAGTAAAACGTTCAGATCATGAAGTGCTAGATTAAACATGTATTATTGGTACCTGTTTAATTGTTGGTTATACGCAGGCCTACCAGTTAAACTTTTATAGAACTTCACCTGGAACTCTTATAATTTTTCTGGTGATTATACAATCCCACTGCATTTACATACAACACATGCTTATAAAAGTAGTAATGATAAAATTATTATTATTATTATTATTATTAAATTGCACCTATTTCCAGGTTCTACGCTTTCTAACAGTAGAGTGATGATGATAGTAAACGCATTGCTCGTAGGTTTTTTTTTCATTATGTGTCGGCATTGGTAAGTAAGATCTACATAAGTAGGCATTCTCGTTCATAGTTTCTCGATGTGAACGAATGCAATTACCGCTGCACGTGTGGTGAGTGTATGAAATTGACAGTTAAATAATGTGTCTTTAAAGACTGCTTAGAATTTCACATGAAAAGTATGCCAGCTCCCCATCACCGGTTCAAAGAAATGGACTGCAGTTATTTATCTAAAATTAACGCACAGAGGGCGCTTTGTTGTCTCGCAATGCAATTTTTCTTAAATTGCTGACTTCATTATCTTGCCTTTCATTTATTCAAATACCGTCCAAACGCATTTTAACTTAAACTGTTGAATTTCGATTGGGGATACCAAAGTTCATGCAAGCGATTTATTATGAGACAAAATACACCATCCCGTATGTCATACTGTAGTTATGCATTGAATGCAATTTTTGTGTTGTAAACTTGGTAAATTTGAATAAAAATGGCAGTTGTAAACGAAGATTATTTTATTCCCCAAAAGTAAATAAATAGATAAATAAATGCATAAATAAATAAAATGTTCAAAGACTTAAAAAAGGATTCACGATTTTGAGAAGCATATATATATTTATAAATGTTAAAACACATCCTTTAATTTATCATCATCAATTTTTTCATTGATACCAAATAAAAAGAAATTTGATTACGCGCATGAATTTGACTTTCAAAATATTTTCACAGAGATTCCTGTACGTCTAGAAAAAATACCATTAAAAAACGGATATGTGTAATAATATTATGAAATTAAGTCATACATAAAGAGACGTCAGTCTATCATCTCCCTTGATGTATATTCTTGTTGAGAGGAGTAAACACTTGACTAGGCCTATTTAAGGCTCGGTCCTGGACTTCATATGAAGGACTGCGATTTTTAATTATTAATAGAACAATCCCACTTTTGAAAGAACCAGACCTAAGCGCAATTCTTTTATTGTTTATATTCATGAGTTCCCTTTGTCACTTTCTTGTTGAACTCATATTAAATTTGGTCTCCATTTTGCTTCGTATATTTTAACGCAAACTCGCATTGTGCAGAAGGCCATTTTCTTGACAAATGGGAGCATAATATGAAAGTATAAATAAATAAACCCAAGTACTGGCGCGATATGAATATCGTGAGAGGCCCGCGAAAATCCCGTGACAAGACCGCCCATTGTAAATCACAAGACAAAAAGGCTTGTTGACAATGTCCATGATTTAGAACAGCGTTAGAAACAGGGGATATTGTGCAACGTTACAAGGAGTACACCAACAAAAGGAGTCTAGTCAAATATAGTGAAACGTTGAAATGTTTGGATTACATTGGACTGCTGCAGTTTGTATAACATTGGGATTATTCTTAGTAGCACAGTCAGAACCAAGTAAGTGTTTTTTTATATAATACATTATTGTCGAATAGATAATTGAAACTGAAAACCAAAGATAAATGTTTCAATGTCACGAGTGAGAGAAGTTTTAGTAAGCGGCTCAACACAACACATGAAGACACTTTATAGTCTACGAATTGGACTGGTACTTTCCTTTTTTTAATCCTCAGACATTTCAGTTCATTTAAAGTTTGTTAAATAAATCACAATTAATTTTGACCTGTTAATACCTATTGTTACATACAATAATGCCGTTTTGGCGCCTTTGATGTTATAGTTTTATAATATCCGAAGTTGTAATAACGGTGGCAATAAACGCCTGAATGGCCTATCAAGCGACAATTAAGTTAGTAAGCGTGGTTTAAATGGCACCTTTAAGTCCTTACTCAACCGCGGATATCCCTTTGTGAGACAAAACAATCAGCCGTTTGTCGAAGATGGAGTACTTTTCAAAAATGTCTATTCTTCGCGCTTTTGGAAAGAGATGTCATTCAGGGTGATTAATGTTCGGTTTTCTTTTGGTTCAAAAACCCATGAAATCATTTCACTTTTTATGATTCTTAAACCATGGTCAAATGCTAAATACCTTGATATTCAGAATGGAATTGAAATTGTTGTCACATTCGGTTTGACGATAGTATTCGAACACACGTTTCCCCGCCACGCGGAAAAGCGAACTTCTTTTGTTTATCGGCTGTAATCTTTCAATTTCAATTTATTAGCAGATCCACCTATACATGTATATGTGCAGAAGAAGCTCACTTGATATCAGTGTAACTGAAAAATGTCAAAGTGAAGGATATACCCAATAAGTAGGATGAAAAATTTTTAAAAGATGGGAAGCATGAACAATACTTCATAACCTGTTTTGGCTCAAATACCACAACGCAATTATACCCGCCGAGCTAAAAAACCATAAATACAAATAGACTCATTCTTCATTATTAAACACGTACATTTATTATGTCATGTGTATATTTCAGTTCATAAATGTCAATACCATGGCCAATATATCCGTGACACGGTGAACCTGTGCCTGTTTTACCAGTGTGAGTACCCGGGACGGCTCCACGCGGCCATGCACCCCTGCGCTAACGGTACCAAACTGCCAAAACTCTATGGAGAGGTATGTTATTTATTTATTTATTTATTTATGTATTTATTCTTTTTTGTTTTAGCTATATTTTTGTTATCTTATTTTTTTATTTATTCACTTATTCGTTCATTTATTTCATCTTTTCTTACAATGATTGTTTGAATATTAACTGTATTTATTTATTTGTAACATCATCAATGAATTAAGTATTTAATTCATCTATTTAATACTCTTTTACCCTAAAGCATAGTAGGGTTGTTGGTTTTTGGAAGGTAACTCGACAATTAATTATGTTGGCATTTTTGAAATTTTCCTGCGTGCATTGTTTTTGTGGATGAAGTACTTTACTTAAATTTTGAAATCTAACTTGCGCCACACTTCATATCCAAACACATGGATACATTTTGATTTGTCCTTAAGACTGTTCCTCAGGTATTTCATTTTTGACAATTTGTTGTAATGTTGAAGGCATTGAAACACTCTGTCAACTTTGTCTCATTCATGTTAATTAGGAAGGGTTTCCGTTGAATTTCACCATGTCATTAACACTATTTACCAGGGGACCGTTTTCACAATATAACTTACGCGCGAAATTTTAGAACAAAATTTAGTTTTCTGTTAAGGCAAAGAGGTTTCCTTGGTTAAGTTAACGTTAAAGTTCAATGTTAATCCTCAAAAGTCCACTCAACTAAAGTAAGCACTGGCCTGAAAAGCCTTTCTCGTTTCGAAGCAAAAAAAATATTTCATTTAATTGGACTACCACTCATTTATCTTTGATCAAAGAAGACTAAAATGTGGGTCTGAATTTGGTTGCCAATATTTTTGAAAAGAAAAATAGATTTTCGACTTTAAAACTTTGTTTTTCGGCTTCTCAGCTAGTAACTTTCATTGTATTATTACTACTATTATTATTATTCAACAAAATATATTATATATTATGTAGACATATATTATATAGAATATACGTAAATGCGCGCGCGCGCGCGCGTGTGTGTGTATGATAGGAGTTTCTTTTCATTACTTTACTTTATGCGTTATCTGTATTTTCATACTACGTACACGTTTGATTTATTATTTCTATAATCAGAGTAAAATTTTTAAATTGTGGGTCTAAAAATTAGACCGACTTCAGACTTTGAAGTAAATTTCTGAAACAGTCTTCTTGCATTAGATTTTTGAAATCTGACGACAGGGCTTTCGCAGTTAAATGATTAGATGTTGACTTTGATTTACTGAAGGGCTTGCTCTCAAGCATTATTTTGTTAACTGGAGAACAAACTTTTCAGTAAAAAAAGAGATCAACAACTAGTCAATTAGCTGCACAAGATTTATACGGTAATATTCCAGACACCAGAGCACCCCGACAACTCCGACCCATGCGTGCTGTTCAGACATAACCCCATGGAATGCGTGAATGACGAGGGTCAGAAACACAGCGGCGAGGTCGGTATCCTGGTCTCGGCGGAGGGTGACTGGAGCCCTTGCTCGGTCACCTGCGGCCGTGGGTCCACGTTTCAGGAGGTGAAGTCGTGTCGAAGGCTTGACCATATTGAATTGTACTGTAATAAAACCAAGAAATATCGCATCTGTTTCTTAAGACCGTGTAAGTATATATAACTACTGCAAATACATGTATTGTATATATTGTATTCAATTATTATTATTATTATTATTCCATCTCTCCATCTCTTAGATGTTATTCTGTGTCTTTTTTTTCTGTGTGTCAGTTGCTTCCTGCAGTTAAGACACACAGCACCTTTCTCCATATGTGTTCTGTTCCAAGTATGACCGACAATTGTGCACTTCCAACTTATTATTATTATTATTATTATTATTATTATTATTATTATTATTATACTAGTGATATGTGAAAAGAGACATTTCTTGATTTGCACAATAATACGAAAAAAAAAAACACATGGAAATGAAAGGAATTAAAAGGTCGAATTTACTAGCTGTATAATATATCGAGTACAGTTGACCAAATCTTTTTACATACATGTATTTCTTGTGATCAACATATAATTTTGTGTTTACCATTATACACTAGTTCTTTACCAGAGGTCAGGTGAATGAGAACCTCAATTCTGTGCAAAGAAATTCTCTCAAAGTCTAACAGTACTAGAGAAATATGCACAGAATTACCCAAAATATATCCGTGAACATGAAGTGAGAATTTTATCCTTGTTCCTATTACAGGGATGATACACTTGTACTCGTACATGTTTACAGATTGATATTCTTTTGTTGTTACAATTCAGAGAAGTGTTTTTGGGTACTGTTTTCTTAATCTATTACCTAAAAGAGCATAACCCGTCCCTAAAGACCTCGTATAAATTTTGATCAAAAACGTACACATAACCATAAATAATTTCTGTACATGTTAAAAAAATTTTGCGACGTCAGATCATACCATTAAAGCTTAATCGAAAACTGGCGTCAGGCAACACAGGATTGTTTTCATTTTCGATGCATGGCACAAAATATATGCCTCTCCTTACATATATAACGTGCACGAGCCTGTTGCTTAGTGATGACGCAGTTAATGATAGTATTTCCTCGTGCCGCTTTGTGGTCACCATATGCAATGGTGACAAAACAAGGACGCTTAACTGATGACAATGACAAACGCGTCCTTACAGGGTGACATTGCCGCATGTACTATAGGGTGTGACCGTTGACTTCTGTATCGATTGATAATAATAATAATAATAATAATAATAATAATAATAATAATTTGATTAACATCTCACGTTTAAAAATAAAACTCACCCTACTACAGGTTATAAGAGATTATAACCTGTGAAAGTACAATTAAAACTAATTAAATAAATTATTGATCATTTAAACACATAAAAAGAACATTTTATGAAAAACCATTTCAATCCTTCTCGTCTGTGTTAAACAACCGTAACTTAGTGTTGTTTTCTATCACCAGGTGGCACCTGGAGCGAATGGGAGCCATGGGAACCGTGCAGTGCCACGTGCGGTGGAGGAACGACATTTCGTGTCCGGAAATGCGTGGGCGGCAACGACTGCTTCGGTCCGTCTAGACAGCAGATGCCGTGTAACACTCAAGAATGTAAGTAGTGTGCATAAGATTATGCTTACAATAACCACAATCACCGACAGCGCTGTTATTTTATGGTTGCTGGTATCGCACTCTTTTGCATGCTCCTTTACGCACGTGGACATTCCTAAATATATCAGAAACATGTCTATACAGTTATTACAAAACATGCTTTTAAGGAAGCATGAAGTGACCACGAAAATACTATTTCACAATACTAAAAATGGCGCTTGGAGTTTGAAAACAATTCTGGTCTATTCCACAATTTCAGTAATTTCTTATGAAATTTCGTAGGAATCGAGTAATATCTTTAAACTGAATTAGCGTCTCAATATGTTCTGTTTCGTTTCCTTTAAAGGCCCTTACTTTGGTGAGTGGTCGGAATGGTCAGAATGTGACGCCAAATGTGGCGGAGGAAGACAAACAAGGACCCGGATGTGCCTACCAGCTGGAAGCGTGTGTATCGGAAGAACCACTGAGATACGCTCGTGTAACAATTTCCCATGTAAGTAAATAAATTATTGTCTTCTTAACGAGACACATTAAACCATTGAATTACGCGTTTTTGTCTTGCTTAAAGGTGTGTTTAAGAGCTCGTAGTATTGTTTGTGGTATTTCATACTATGTAAAGCGATACCAATTTATTATTTTTTTAGCCTTAACAAGAATTTAAACCTTGTTAATTGCCAAAGTTGTATTAATTAACATTTCAAATGTTCACTGCGAGTTTTAACTTAAAGTGAGAATATTTCAATTATTCTGTTTTTTTTGCACTACGGCCATGATTGAATAAATAATGTGTGTTTGCGCATGTACAAAGTTTGTCTTGCACCTCTTTGAGGTGACTTATTAATCCTCTTTGAGGTGACTTATTAATCCTCTTTGAGGTGACTTATTAATCCTCTTTGAGGTGACTTATTAATCCTCTTTGAGGTGACTTATAAATAAAAATCATCGTCTTTCAGGTCAGTATTGGACAGAATGGATAGACACAGACGATCCGTCCAAGGACGGGGATTGGGAGGTGGACGAGACGCCGGTGAGTCAGGGAGCATTCACATTCAAGTTATCGTACCAACAGAATCAATCCATCTCTGCAGGGATGCTCGCTTATGTGAATTTATTGTAATCAGCTTTAATGTCTGACAAACCCCCTCGAGCAGCTGGGTGGTAATTTGAGGCACTTTAGAGAGAATCTCCGCAGAGATGGGTTCGTCTGCCCCAGTATTCTACTTTTATCGCCACGAGTGAAATTTAGTAGTCCAGTCTCCATATTTATATTGAAAGTGATATAAGAAAAATCAATTAGTGAATTAAAACGCCCCAAAGTACAGCGGTAGTGGTAACAGTCTTACTGAACACCTTCTTCGTATCAAAAGTAGGCTCAATAGATCAAAAGGCACGTCGGTAATAAAATGCATGGCGGAGATGGCTTGTTCCTCTTAGTTTCTCTTTGATATCAACGAAACCTCCATTTTATCGGGGGTGAATTGTAAATTAAGGACTAATCTGGATTATTCTTGAATTTCTGCATTCGTGAAACAGCGACTAGTTGTGTTTGATGTGACTGCAAGTTTGTTGCATTGTTGAATGCGACTGTGTAGGGACACATTTAGTTTTAGAAAGTAGATCCAGTAAATTACAGTGACAATGTAAGCATGGGTCCTTATATTTTACCACTTTACTTGGAACTGCTTTCGAAAACTATTACTATCTAATGTCACAAACGACACGAAAAAATGTTTTGCTGTCACATCTAACGCAACTAATGTGTTACAGTTATCGTCTGGATTCCGACTCTTATATCATACGATTGAAAGTAGATGTACATGTACCGAATTCTCCCAGATAACTTACAGAAATGCCAGATATACGTGATAAGTAAACATAACTAAAGGGCGTCGTAATGAATTTACTATTTTTTTCTCACGTTGTAAATCCTGGTGCGTCGGGTCTTCTCGTAATTTTTTACTTAACCTGTATGCTAGAGATATCTTATTTAGGTTTGATAATATTTAAAAAAAAGGAAAGTGTTATAAATTGAATAACTGTGTGAATCGTTCACGCACAGCCCTGAGAAATTTTGATTCAATGTTCAGAAATAATAATAATAATAATAATAATAATAATAATAATATCACGGCGTAATCAAAAATTTCCATCATTCTTTCCAGTGCGATCACTCCGGGATCGTGTCTGAGCCTCTCAAAGCAGAGTGCCGTCTGGTTAAGACAAAACACCCCTGGGACTCCAGCGGCCTGAAGTTCTACATACCGTGCTCCACCTTCGGCATTGTCTGCAGGAACGTGGAAAACGACCCTAACTGGACCCCTGGGGATGACCCCATATGTCACGATTTGGAAATTCGATACCTGTGCTCATACCCTTAAAGCTGCGACACACAGGCTAGGGGACCTCTCTTTGTGCGTTCAATGGGGCCATTCAGAATAAAAAATTCGAGGATCAACTGATTCTTTAATGGGCTCTACGCCTCTCATACGCCTCCCCACGCGTCGTCCCTGCAGGGGCACAGTAATTAAATCTCGACTCCATTCGACCGGACGCGCGGGGAGGTGTGTGAGAGGCGGAGAGACTATTACAGGATTAAGCGGTCTTCTGTTCATGTAAGATGCGCCATATTTGATCCTTGGATCAGTTGATACTCGGGTCTTCTTTTCTGAATGGGGCCAATGACAAAGGGCCCCGTCACGTCAGAATGATTCTAGACCTAAATCAAGACCAATATAAGGTCGACTTCAAGAATAATCCAGATCGAAAAGCTACGACTCGACGCATATATGTAGGATAATAGAGGCTTCGTTGCTATCAAAAAGAAACAAGGAAGAACAAGCCATTTCCGCCATGCATTCCATTTCCACCGTGCCTTTTTTAAAAGCTATCACTTTTTTAGCAAAAAAAGTGTTCAGTAAAGCCTAGGTCCCAACCGAACGCACGGGCTGCTACGTGTGGTCTACGGCCAAAAAATGAGGAAAACGTGGGAGATCGTGCGTGAGGAGCACGTCCATCATGCTTCTTTTGGAGGACGCGAACAGCACGTAGACACTTTTCGACATGATCAACAGCCGCTATACGTGCGAACTAGCTACGTCCTGGCCGGACGCAAGGAGCCTAAAAACCGTGCGTCCAAAACGTAGTTGGGACCTAGGCTTAAGACTGTACCCACTAACGCTGCTCTTTAGGGCGTTTTAATTCAGTGATGTTTCTTATTCATGAGTCATTTGCAATATAAGATGGAGACTGGACTCTAGTGAATTTCCCTCCTGACGATAGAAATAGAATTTTACATTTAGAACTCAAAAACGGAATTATGGATTATGGATCTTAAATTTTCTCCACACTTTTGCACAGGATACAATTGATGTTTGAGGGAAACTTGTTGAAATATTCAGGAAAGTTATTATTATTATTATTATTATTATTATTATTTTTTGCTATGCTAAGGTGTAACGCATATTTAGTGCCTTTAGACAATTTGTCAGATGAGCTACTTATGTTTTGTAACATCGCTGCGTGAAAGATTTTGATTTTAGTTTTTTTTTATAAATTAATTAATTATTTATTTATTTACGGCGAATATATTAAAAAGAAAACAATGCTGAAATACAGGTGCTACACACCAGTCATACGGGACAACAGCTTCTTGCTGCGCTTTTCAATTGACATTTTAATATAAATTTTGGTTGTTATTTTTTTTCGGCCTTCATTCTAACAAAAGTGCACGCATGTGAATTTCATTTTAAATATTCATGGGTGTGGGTAAAGGAGTTTCCACTTCCGAGTGTGAACTTTGATTGAGAATCAAAAGGATTGATGGATATTTGAATAAAATGAAAATAGGTTTTCATGTTAGTTTTTTTTCATATTACGAAAATTAAATTTAGTTGGCCACACACACACACACACACACACACACACACCAGTGGCGGATTCGATATCTGGCCCTCTTAAAATTATAATTTTGACCAGCTGAATCATTGTTCTAAACCGTAGCAAATGGCACCATTCGCCCTCTAAAATACCTTTTTTTTTCTGGGCCCTTCAGCAGGCAATAAATTCTGAGTTAAACTTGTTATCAGTTTTTTTACAGAGAAAAAGTATGTGCCAATTAAAAAGCAAGAGCCCCAAGGATCAACAGAAGGACCCTAGTTTTTAATATAAATTAATCTGCAGTAGATTCACCGTGTCATTGCATAGTCTCGCTCGGTACTCCAAGCACTATCGGTATCGGATTTATCAAACATTGCCCGGGTCAGTTCGAAAATTCAGAAAATGAACAATTTCCGATATAGTTTTTCGATATATTTTTTAAGTCAGTTGTTGTATTAACAAAAGACTATGGTCTTTAAACCAGATACTACTTATTTGTTATTTTAAGCATATGAAATTAATTTAATCTACATGAAACCGACAGAAACAATATATATAATAAGTTGCATATCTAAAAGAGAAAGGAAAAACTTGGATTTGAATGATTAATTCTATTGATTATCTTAAATATTCAATTTCATTAAGTGAAATCGACACGACGTTCCGAGTAAAGACATACGTTCGAATAAATTTGTAGTAGAGTAAACAGTTTGTTTCAAAGAGTCAGCTACTTCAAATTAACACATTAAACCTGAGGGAAGTATTGAAGCAGCTGGTGGTTTACTGCAGTCTCCTAGCCATTGCCAACAATATTGCGGACGCTGCTGTTTGCAGTCAGAGGACCCATCTCCACCTGTTCTTCCGGCAACACTTCCTGCCATGACGAAATGGTAAAGATGTTTAGGCAGTAAGACAAGTCTCAGTATCGCAAGTTTTAGTGAATGTTTGCGGATAAATATACATCTAAGCTTTTACCATTACAAAAAGAGTTGCTGACTTTTGGTTATTTTGATTAATACATGAATTGAACGAAGAGACGAGTAGTAAAATCAGGAAGTTTTCTTTCTTTATTTTTACCTGAGCAATATATAAAATTGGGGAGGCGACCATATGAGTTGGAAACTCATTCACGTAGTAGTCAGAGAGCCAACTAAATTCGAATAAACGAAAGTAGAATTATAGTAGATAAATAATCAAAAGAATAAATAAATAAATGTAGTAGTTAATAACAGATTAATATGATACAAAATAACTAAATAATTTAAAATAAAATTTTATGATATAGCAAAATAAGTTAAATTAAATTGTTAGGAGCTTTCACGGCAACCAAAACTGCAGGAAGAAAAAATATCGAGGATATTCGCACCGATGACTTAAAGGGCCAGTCCTGCTGCTAATTCTTTGGTCCACGTTGCTAAAATGACACACACACACACACACACACACACTATTTTGAATTGTTCCAGAAAGGAATAAGAACGGGTAGTTACGGTGAGCCGGTGAGTTGGCACCATCTCAGCAAGATGTTATTATTCACTAACATTCTGTTTCTAATAAACATTGAGAAGAGGACGCATCTATTTTATACGCTTTCTGGTTATGAAGGCCTATCTATTACACTCATACTCTGAATAATTTTGTTTGATGTATGACATGAAATAGGTTTTAGGGAAATGGCTTCCGCTTTAATTTTGTTAGAGAGATGTAGATATTCCAAGGACTGATGCATATTTCATGATTTGGTTTAAATGGAATAAAACCTTTGCTTCCGTTTTAATTTTGTCAGGGAGAAGTAGATATTCTAAGGATTGATGCATATTTCATCATTTGGTTTAAATGGAATAAAACCTTTACTTCCGCTTTAATTTTGTCAGAGAGAAGTACATATTCCAAGGATTGGTGGCATATTTCATCATTTGGTTTAAATGGAATAAAACCTTTACTTCCGCTTTAATTTTGTCAGAGAGAAGTAGATATTCCAAGGATTGGTCGCATAATTCATCAATTAAACCTTTAAAGCTCTCCCAGAAAAACAGGAACAATTCAGAACAGAAATAGAGAGCATTAATTACCATAATTATGTTGTAGCCACCTACATTTAATAATTCATTTTCCAGGAAGTATATCAGCTTGTATTCTCCTAATGTGCTCACCATTTATACTAGAACATAGTGGTTTAATCAGTATATTAGTTTTCATCATATTTTGGTAATTTTCCAATTTATTTTGACATAAACAGTCTTAGGGGCATTTTAAAACAGGTATACAGTATTATATCTTCTAATTGAAGACGGTACACAATAAACTCCCAACTTTCAAGCAGTTAAAAAAGATGAATATCATTTCTTATATTTATTAGCCAGACTTTACACAAACATGTGGCAAGCGTCTAATCTCCTTAAATATTTACCAACTACTGGTATAATTAATAATTTTTTTTTTACATATTTAACACAATTCAAATACACACCTTTGTTACATGTATAATGATATAAAATGCCACTCAATACCCAGAGGATAATACGTAATAAATAAGACAGAGGAAGTAATATACTTCACCAAACAAACTCAAACATTACAATATTTGTAGATCCGCCCTTTCAGAATAAGTTAAGTAGTTTAAAAAAATTGGTTTTCAGGGTCACTGAAAACTCACTTTTCTTCTACACCATCAGATTTTGGAAAAAAAGTTGGGCTTCCAAAGATTTACAAAAATTGGGGTAGTTACCAGGCCATGAGACAAAAATAACACCCTAAACGTAGGTAGGATTAGGAATTCGAAAAAAAAAAAAAATAAATAAAACTAATGAATTCCCTTATTTTACCACATTACATAATTTTGCATCTGCTTTTTTTTGCCTAGTGCCTTTATAGTCCGAAATAACATATCTGAACAATTCTGTTGTTCTTCATACTTGCTTTAATGCTGTTACTACCAATATTTCAAAATATTATATTTACTATTGTGCTACAGTTAACATTTAAAATGTAAAATAGAAGTTCTCCAGAAAGTTCATTTGGGCAGAAGTAAACATAAAAAGTAAATAAAAGTTCTATAGTTAGATTTTTATAATAATAATAATAGATTTAAAGGGCCAGGGGGGGGGGGGGGGTAATTATTTGCACTCGTGCCAATTTTTGGCTTGCAGATAGTGAAAGGTTGTACAAAAATTCCTACAGTGTTTGACATCATCTTCAAAGTTTCTCATACAAGCATACATGGGTGATTTTAGAAATACTTAGAATTAATAGACTTTTCAGTTATTCAGTTTTTAAAACTGTTTTTTCTATTTGATAGTATTAGAATATTACTTTACTTTCATAACTATTACATGAACATTTTAGCTTACATATAATGTATGTAGGGAGATATTACACCTTACGCAACCATTAAAATGTTAAAAATCCATACATCACTTTTGCTAATCTAAACAAACTGCTTCAAGTCTTTCTATTTTCTTACTTAAAAGGTACATGAAGTCAAACGTCAGCCTAACATAAGGTACAAATATGAGAAAAATATTTTTTTCATTAAAAAAAGAAAAATATATGTGTATTCCAAGGTCAATTTTATCACATTTATAGTATACCCCCCTGAAATAGCAAATTAAAACCAATAAATAAATAATCAGACAAAATATATTGCCCTAAATAAGACAAGTTTTAGCCATGAAACAAAACCCCACCTATGTCCTTTTTTCTTTATATTTTGGTGACGTAAAATAATAAAATGAGTGTTAAACATAATGATCGCATCACAATATAAACTGCCTCAGAAACACTTTCTCCCACATCACCCTTAAAATGATGCCTACTAGGTTATATTATCAGCAGTGGATCCAGGGCCAACTTTCACTCAAAAGACGTCCAAGTCAGTTCAAGTGGTATCTTTGTTACCAACGTTACATGGTCACATGCACACATCTTACCCTATCAGAAAAGGTGTTACAGCACTCTCATGGACATCATTGTCAGCTAAGCCACGAAACTGACTCAATTATTATTATTTTTTTTTGCAAAACTGGGACAAGAGAGGGGTGGGCATGGGGTGAAGGCAAAGCTGGCACATCCCCCCCCCAACAGGCCCTCCCATTCACACACACACAGCATCTGGGGTACACCTTCTGCCTCTTCCAAATATTAATTTCCCAAGTAAAACCAGACATGACCAAATAATTATTCCATCCCCATGCCCTATACATTATCAATGAAATTTGTCATGGTCTGTTATTTTTTAAAATTTTGCTGCTCAGTGAGGCGAGGCATAATTTTCTATTTCTATCTCCCTCTCCCTCTAAGAAAATCCTGGATCCACCAATGATAAAAGACTTAAGAAAGAAAAAAAATCCTCATGATCTAAAACATGAGGTTATTTGTTTTTTTCTTCCTCATAATTATCCAAGTCCATCTCATCTAAAATTTCAAAGTCACCCAGATCTGAATTCGAACTTTCTCTGGACATGGCCTCTGCAGGCTTCGCTTTTGTTCCCTTCGAACCAGTCGTGGCATCAAGAACAGTTCCTCCAAGGCGACTTAGTCCCGCCCAAGCACTGGACGCAACACTGCTAAAAGTCCTGCCAACCATATCGCCAGCTTTTCCAACCAATCCTGACTGAGCGACATGTTTGCTGTGGACCTTCTCCTTAGCATGACTTGCAGTTTCAACATTACTGTCTGCCTCGTCCTCACTGACGTCTGCTTCATGTGGCGAATGGTCACCATCGTCCATGAGAGCATCATCTCCAACTGGCGAAGAGCGGTCCGATAAATCTGCGGCGTCGATATCTGGGAAAACAAGTCCCTGAGCAATTGACCCTCCAATTTCATCATCATCCGATTCTTCGTGATTGAAATGTGATGAAATAAAGGTCATGGCTGCTGCAGCTGGTGCGGTGGTTTGCGTCTGCCCAGCACCAATAGTATCCACAGCAGCGCCATCTCTCGGGGTAAAGTGTAACCCGACTGACAGAGACTCATCCACGCTGTTGTCATCAAACGCAGGCATCTGTTGTAAACCATGCAAGAGTGAAGACTCGTGGATGGTTCTGTCTCTTTCTACCTCTGGAAAAAACATTACAAAAATTAAATAACAATAAAATTAGGCACAGGGTGTCTCAAAATACAAAAGGACCCATGCATAAAAAACACAATACAAAGGGACCCATGCGTAATAATTAATCAGACAAAATATATTGCCCTAAACAACACAAGTTATCTTTTGATCTAGAGACTTCAAATCAATGTTTTGTTAACTGTTACTATATCAGCTTCCAGGAAATGTAATCTTGTCTCAGTTTTTCTCGCCTCAGAAATAAATCATTATCATAATAATGGGTTCCAGGAGATTGAAACACCCTGTTATTTGTGAGTAGGAGAAATCTTTTTTTAATTAAATAATCCATTTTTTTTTGTTTAGGTAAAATATTGATTTGACAGGAAAATCTTCATCATTACCATCTGTGTCACTATTGGCAAAGGATGGCTCCCGCGACAGCCTCGGAGTGAGAACTGACGGCGAAGACGTCTCATCCTCACTGTCTGTGATAGCCCTGGCGAGTGCTGCTGTTATTTCTGGATCAGTGGTTGGCGTAAAAGCATCTATATCACTGTCACTGTCCGTCTCTGCTCGATCCTTTGAGGGATCAACAGGCGATTTTGTACGACCTAAAAGAATAAATCATAAGATTAGAAAATAAATAGATAAATAAATAATAAATACCTGCATTAATTAAAACAAGTTTGTTTTGCCTGTAGAAGATCATATCCAATACCCAAATGTGTGCATGATTCAATCATTATTATCAAATGATCAGGGCTGAAAATACTTGCCTTCATAACTTACTAACATATTTAATTTAAAAGCCTCCTGCAACAACTTGAAAGTAATATTGAATATTTAAAGGTAAAATTGAATGTGTTCAAGACATATACTTAACAAGCATATTATTAACAAGAATATTACACAACAAAATATAATAAATAATATTAATAATCATTTCAAGAAAATCCAACATAAAATCAAATTTTGAACCTACTTTTCCGAGTTTTTCTCCTCCTAATTTTCAATTTATATTCCATCTTCATCATCATCGGCTCAATGTGTATATAGAATTTTTGTAGCAAGTTATGGTAAACCACACATGGCCAAAGCAAAATGCTCATCACTGTATATGAAAAGGAATCATATTTTTATTCAATTAATTAATTAATGGCAAATGAAGAATGCATACCTTGGGCTCTTTTCACGTGTTAACTACAGTAGCGAAATGGTTTGAGATATTGATAACCTTAATAGCCTGGCAAAATACTTTAGTTAAATACAAGAGGAGTATCTATCATAATCTCAACTTATGATTTTTATGTTTTTCCTTTTTTTTTTTTTTTTTTTTTTTGCAAAGTATCAACAGACAAACATTGGATGACACATTTCTGTTCGAAAAATTTCATAAATTTTTCTATGGAAAAAAGCTGAGAATCACGAATAATTATTATGACGACAATGGATAAGTGCATAAAGGGAAAATGATTTCCATTTTATATAACTGGATGAATAAATTCTTATATTAAGAAATCCTTTGGTTTTTGCTACCAAGTCTCCTTACCTATTATATAAGATATCATTATCCCTGGGATATAGTGCCCTATGCCAGCCAAACAGAAACTCCCAGTACATATCAGAATACAAAACTGGAAATGAAATCATAGTATTACATATATATACATAAAATATTAATAATTATAATAAATATTAGCTATTTATAGTCTATGAGAAGTATCACAGAAGTAACTGGCTCGCGCTGCCAGTAATTATGCCGCGGGATATTCAGGGCACAGACCGTGATCACAAGATACCGCGAATAGAAAATAGATTTGTAGAAAATAGACTTTCCATGTGAACGGTCCACTAAAATGTTCAGTAGACTTACAGGGGTAAAATGAACAGAATAAGATGAATACAGTCAATATATAAATAAATAGACAGCTGAAATATTAAGTAATTTGCAATAATGAATAGCAGCGAAAATTTGCCACAACAGAGGGAGTAAATTTTACCTAGTAAGCACTTTTCTTTAAAATATGCCAAATCATTTATACTTATCCTAGTGCAATTGTCAGAATGATTTTTAAAATCAAAACTTTTATATCACGTCTCCAAATAATACATTCTTAGGGTAAAATGATTTGCAATAGGCAGTAAGGATGAAAAACAGAAGGTGCAAGTTGTTCATAAGCTTATTGTAAACACCGACTGCTCTTTTTTTTTTTTAAAGAGAGTGGAGTTGGAGGGGGAGGGCTTAGGTGGTTCTAAATGGAACACACCTGACACTAAAATATTTCAAGTCTGAGTTGATCCAATACTCATTTTTAAATATGACTTGCTCTACATAGTCTACAAGGTAAACTAGAAAAGCACTTCAAGAGCGCAGACCTCTGCCAAGGCAGCAATTTTTGATTATTGATTGATTATTGATCTGGATCACCACCAAAAACTAATCATCTGTTCCTTGGTCCACTTCTGACAGTTCCTGAAAATTTCATCAAATTTGGTCCATAACTTTCTGAGTTACGTTGACGACAAACAAACAGGGATGAAAACATAACCTCCTTGGCGGAGGTAAAAAAGCCTGAGTGATGCTCCTTTGAACATTATCATCAAAGACAACGCTAACAATATATCACCTTTCCTGGATGCCTTTTTCTCATATTCCACAGCAGATGAGAATAAACTGATGCTGTCACCCACATTTCCGCTGCGTAGCGACTGATCTCAGGCACGCTCATTAAGTGAGGCTGTACGGAAACCCAGCTGAAAAAGAGAAAGCAAAAAAATAATAATAAAAAGCTTATTTGATAGGGGCACATTATGAGCATTCAGGGATGAAAAAAGACCTTAAAGATGCCAACTCTGACAGTCATAGCAGACAAAGGTGATGGTTTTTTGTATAGACACGATGAGTGTGTACATTAAAAGCCTGAAAATGCAAGCAATGAAGACACACATTGGTCTTAGACTCCGTTCACATGAAAAATCTATTTTCTAAAAATCTATTTTCTATTCGCGGTATCTTGTGATCACTCCGAGCGCAGCCGAGAATTAATTACAGCTTTGGAAGTAACTGGCTCGCGCTGCCAGTAATTACGCCGCGGGGTATTCAGGGCACAGACCGTGATCACAAGATACCGCGAATAGGAAATAGATTTCTAGAAAATAGATTTTTCATGTGAACGAAGCCCTAAACACGGGAGGGCAAGGGGGTATAAATACAACACCCAAACATCTGAGTAATTCCACGAGCCTATTGGCAATATACTTTTATAAATCAAAAATTTTTACATTCCTGGAAACTGCAACACTTTCCCTTTAAAGACACACCAATACAGTTGACAAAATTATGATCTGTTAGTTTCTAAACTTTAAGTCACTCATAATAATGGAGACAGAGTGGCATATTTTATTGGATTTCCCAGTTCAACTCAAATAATCTTCACCCTTGCTTGTCCAAAATAGTTCAACATGACCACCAGATGTTAGCACATACATGTATGATACGAAGAGAACAGCAATGATTATTATATCTACCACCAGTTGGCAGCACCTTAACAAGACAGCACTGGTGTCTGACCAATATTAAAAAATTTTACTGTAGTAAACATTAAGCATAAACCTAATACAATTTGGTTTAAACAGGCAACATGGATAATAGATTTCAAACTGACAATGGGAAAATTAAGAAATGAACTAGAATGCATCTAATAAATAAAACCCTATAACAATAAACAATTTGCTAATGTACTAATAAAAAGAGCAAATTTTTNAAAATAGACTTTCCATGTGAACGGTCCACTAAAATGTTCAGTAGACTTACAGGGGTAAAATGAACAGAATAAGATGAATACAGTCAATATATAAATAAATAGACAGCTGAAATATTAAGTAATTTGCAATAATGAATAGCAGCGAAAATTTGCCACAACAGAGGGAGTAAATTTTACCTAGTAAGCACTTTTCTTTAAAATATGCCAAATCATTTATACTTATCCTAGTGCAATTGTCAGAATGATTTTTAAAATCAAAACTTTTATATCACGTCTCCAAATAATACATTCTTAGGGTAAAATGATTTGCAATAGGCAGTAAGGATGAAAAACAGAAGGTGCAAGTTGTTCATAAGCTTATTGTAAACACCGACTGCTCTTTTTTTTTTTTAAAGAGAGTGGAGTTGGAGGGGGAGGGCTTAGGTGGTTCTAAATGGAACACACCTGACACTAAAATATTTCAAGTCTGAGTTGATCCAATACTCATTTTTAAATATGACTTGCTCTACATAGTCTACAAGGTAAACTAGAAAAGCACTTCAAGAGCGCAGACCTCTGCCAAGGCAGCAATTTTTGATTATTGATTGATTATTGATCTGGATCACCACCAAAAACTAATCATCTGTTCCTTGGTCCACTTCTGACAGTTCCTGAAAATTTCATCAAATTTGGTCCATAACTTTCTGAGTTACGTTGACGACAAACAAACAGGGATGAAAACATAACCTCCTTGGCGGAGGTAAAAAAGCCTGAGTGATGCTCCTTTGAACATTATCATCAAAGACAACGCTAACAATATATCACCTTTCCTGGATGCCTTTTTCTCATATTCCACAGCAGATGAGAATAAACTGATGCTGTCACCCACATTTCCGCTGCGTAGCGACTGATCTCAGGCACGCTCATTAAGTGAGGCTGTACGGAAACCCAGCTGAAAAAGAGAAAGCAAAAAAATAATAATAAAAAGCTTATTTGATAGGGGCACATTATGAGCATTCAGGGATGAAAAAAGACCTTAAAGATGCCAACTCTGACAGTCATAGCAGACAAAGGTGATGGTTTTTTGTATAGACACGATGAGTGTGTACATTAAAAGCCTGAAAATGCAAGCAATGAAGACACACATTGGTCTTAGACTCCGTTCACATGAAAAATCTATTTTCTAAAAATCTATTTTCTATTCGCGGTATCTTGTGATCACTCCGAGCGCAGCCGAGAATTAATTACAGCTTTGGAAGTAACTGGCTCGCGCTGCCAGTAATTACGCCGCGGGGTATTCAGGGCACAGACCGTGATCACAAGATACCGCGAATAGGAAATAGATTTCTAGAAAATAGATTTTTCATGTGAACGAAGCCCTAAACACGGGAGGGCAAGGGGGTATAAATACAACACCCAAACATCTGAGTAATTCCACGAGCCTATTGGCAATATACTTTTATAAATCAAAAATTTTTACATTCCTGGAAACTGCAACACTTTCCCTTTAAAGACACACCAATACAGTTGACAAAATTATGATCTGTTAGTTTCTAAACTTTAAGTCACTCATAATAATGGAGACAGAGTGGCATATTTTATTGGATTTCCCAGTTCAACTCAAATAATCTTCACCCTTGCTTGTCCAAAATAGTTCAACATGACCACCAGATGTTAGCACATACATGTATGATACGAAGAGAACAGCAATGATTATTATATCTACCACCAGTTGGCAGCACCTTAACAAGACAGCACTGGTGTCTGACCAATATTAAAAAATTTTACTGTAGTAAACATTAAGCATAAACCTAATACAATTTGGTTTAAACAGGCAACATGGATAATAGATTTCAAACTGACAATGGGAAAATTAAGAAATGAACTAGAATGCATCTAATAAATAAAACCCTATAACAATAAACAATTTGCTAATGTACTAATAAAAAGAGCAAATTTTTAAAGGGATAATAACTCTTCGTATGAGACCTATATTTCACAATAGAAACCTTGTGAATAACTCATAGAAATATAATATATTCTGTTTTACCAAGAAAACAGCAGTTATAGCTTTTATTCTGATATTTGAACTTGTCTTTAGACCACGTGACCTCCATTGATGTCTATACTCTGTTAAAATCTCTTAAGAGATTTTAACAAAAAACCAAACTTTTTAGAAAAAAACCAGGGACTAACTTTGAATGTAAAAATGGATTCATTAACCATTGGTAAGTATGGGAAAATTGTTGTTTACTCCAGGAAAATTCATTTTTTGGCCGAAACGAAGAGTTATTATTGCTTTAAGGTTATAATCACCTGTCAGTATCTTCTCCTGGGGATGGTGGGGCTGAAGGATAAAGATGTAAAAGTAAGCTGAAGGTTTTATAACGGTCAGCCTACTAGTGATTTCATCTGACAAGAGCCTGGTTCTCAAAAATAACTTTGAATCAAAACTGTTCTAATCAGATTTAATTTTAAAATGCTCCTATAAACTTACTTTATGTTATACAGGACAAGGATTTGTTCATTCACTTCACTGATATACAAGTCATGCATTTGTGCATAGTAATTTTGTGTTCCACCACAGTTTTGTACTGGAAAAGTATATCTGCTTTAGCTATTTCAGCAACTGTTTACGCAAACACTGTTGCTAAGACTGCTCTGCTTTTCTTCAAAGTGCAGATTTCTTATAGATGCATAAATTTTTAACCAAAAGACAGACAGACTCATGTAAATAAAAAAAAATAAATAAATAAATAAATCTTATCAGTGCTTAAATACTCCACCCGGTCCAAAACAAGCTTGTTTACTTATTACCCCCCCCTTCACCCCCCCCCACCCCCTTTACAACTTACCTTTAATTTCTGGCCATATATGATTCTGCCAAGTATCCAAGAGGAAAAACAACATTGCAGTGATTGCAAGAAGGCAGAAAGCACGGATGCATGTAGTTGTAGCCAACCTAAAATTGATCATGAAAAATCATTTTAAAAAAATCATGGATAATATCATGAGAAAAGATAACCTGGGAACAGACTGCTAAGATTTGGAGCTATCAATATTTTTAACTCTAAAAAATGGAATCTCATTTTTTAAGTCTTTTAGGGTATAAGCAAACCAAGTCGAATGGGTGAAATTTTGACAATTTTACTCACAGACATGATCATAATGATAAGCCAATGGTTATCCCAAACACATGTTTTGAAAACAAAAGTGCTATTGTTTACTGGAAGTCAGCTGTACTTATAGTATGTGGCTAGCTATCCAGCTGAGCCCTTATCTTAAAACTTTATGAGAAGCAGGCCTGAGGGTTATCCCTTTAAGGAATGGGGCATGCAGTGCAATATTGTGCTTACTGTGTTAAGCTTCAGAAATTAATACAATGTTGTTAAGTGGGTGTTAAAAAAACAATCCTATACTAGTAGTTAAAGATTAATATTTTTGGAAATGCTAATGTGTGGGTGGGTATGTGGGTCAAGTGGTGCTTCTTTAACACTATTTCTCTTTCCACTGCATTTGTATCAGTATGCTCTATGTGACATGATGACATAAATTTATCATTACATGACATTATCCAGATTGTCATCTCAGCAATGATGTAAATACATTGAGGTTTGGTTGCATAATCTTAACACGTCAAACAGAGGGTCTTAACTCTGCACACACACACACTCCAATATACGTTATACATATAAGACTTGAATGCATTGCATTTAACAGGGTGTTCCAGCCGGAAGAAGCACCGATCAAAATATTTTCTGCCGACTACTTACCAAAATACAACGTTTACTCCCAATAACATGACAGCCGATTGACCTGGTTTCTCCCAGACTAAAATGCTCTGTGCGTGCATAACATGAGGCTCTATTGAATTCAACAAGTCCCTTAGTTTTTGCTCTTTGTAACTGACTCGTCGCTGGATCTCCTCTGCTTGCAGATCGCCCATAAGGGGACGGAGAAATGCACCAAGAAATCCATCAGCTGTGTCCGCAGCCATCATTTACAATGTTTTGATGTGACGTCATCGAGCAGAGATATTTCCCACAATGCATTTCGACACCAGATTATTTTTCTAATGATTTTAATATTGAAGGCGATAATTAGATTACATTTAGCTCAGAAATCAATATAAACAACAGTAATCTTGTTTTATGTATCTTTTTTTATGATTTTTGAATAATTTAACTACCTCGTTCCTTCGGGTATCTTCGTAGTGACCTACATTTTACCGCCATTTTCGACGGCGATATTTGGCAGGATTCCGTCAGTTAAAATATCCCCAGTGTGATTATCGGAAAAGTTGACGATCAATTTAGGTTTCACGCGCACTGCTCCGAGTCTGCCAAAATGCCTCGAGAAATAATAAGTTTGCAACTTGGACAGTGCGGTAATCAAAGTGAGTAAAAACACATAAGTTTCGAGACAGTTTTTCCTTCAGTTCATGATCAATTTTGCTCGTCGTCCTTCCATAATCGAAGGACATTAATACGTCCATGACAGTTCATCGTTGGGGATTTCTTGTTGTATTTTAAAATAAGCTGTCATTTAGCCTCAGATGCGTTTAAAGACGTGTCACACTGAAATGTAACCAGACTAAATCCCTTAACACCGGGTTCAACTGCTATCAGTGATTGAGGGGGGGGGGGTGGGGGGGGGGGGACTTGAACCCTCACATCAGATTCTATAGATTCTATTATGTGGGCCCATGTAAAATTAAATTATAGACACAGTTCTCAGAGCTGGAATGGTTAATTAAAAATTATAAGTCTCCTGAAATGTGATGTTTTTTTGGCAGTACGCATAAATATGACATCTTAAAATGATTTATCACTGTAACAATTTTTTTCATTTTTTTTTATTTGTGATTTTTTTTAGTTGGAATGGAGTTTTGGAAACAGCTTTGTGCAGAGCATGGCATAAGTCCAGGCAAGTAAATTATTTTTAGCTTGAGAAATAATAATAAGTTTATAATAAACATGACAACCAAAAGGTTGAAATTGTACCAAATTTGGATAGAGAGTTTACAGTAAATTTTTTAAATTAAAAATGTCTACATGTAAAATAGCATGTTATTTTAAAGGAATGACCAGTTAATTTCTTGTGTTATTTCTTCAGAGGGTATTTTAGAAGAATATGCAACAGAAAGTACAGACAGAAAAGATGTGTTCTTTTACCAGGTAAAATTCTTACTTTTCACTGATATTTCTTACTTATCACGAATCATTAATATTTCACCAATCACTTTGATTTCAGAAAGATGTTTAAAAATGATGAAGTTTTTAATAACAAAGTTGTCCAAAAAACTTTGCCTTAAAAATTGTTTAAGAATTTTAAAATTTTGGTCCAAAAGTTCCTCAAATAAAGTTTGGTCAGATATACAGTATAATGAAGAGTAACCTCTACACACAATGACCCATGGAACCTTTCTACCCTAATACATACAACACATACACAATGAACTTAAAAAAAAAAATAATAAAAAAAAAAAAATAAATAAATAATAATAATAATTTGAGCCAGCAAAAGTTTGGCACAGCCTGCAATACCTTTAGAAAGATGTTTTGCCATGTGTGAATTAATATGTCATGACATAATATTATATACCATTTCTCCATGTTCCAGGCTGATGATGAGCACTACATTCCCAGAGCAGTATTGTTGGACCTGGAGCCCAGGGTGATCAATACCATCATGAACTCTCCCTACTCCAACCTTTACAACCCAGAGAATGTGTTTACTGCCAAACATGGAGGAGGGGCAGGCAATAACTGGGCTAGTGGATTTGCTCAGGTAAAGAGAGTGAAACCCCTCTCAAAACAGAAAATGTTAGCTAATTCTGAGAGAAAATTCTTTGAAATAAATATATTACTGATTTTTGAAAGAATGAATCCAACTTATTTAGATGGAATATGATTGATATTGTTGTAGGGTGAGAAACTGTATGAAGAAGTGTTTGACATCATTGACAGAGAAGCTGATGGCAGTGACAGCTTAGAGGTACAGTCTCTCTCTCTCTCTCTCTCTCTCTCTCAGTTTTACTTCCTGTTTGATTTTGTTTAGCAAACAATATTGTTATTTTTATTTTCCTGAGAGAATGTTTTTTTTGTCAACTGAGCAGACCCTGATGTTGGACTTCTTATACTGGCCCAGCTTTCAACATTTGGCTGCTTTTGCTACCCATTTTCCAGTGCTACATTTAATCTACTTATAACTATTTGTTTATGTAGTTATTCATTTATTTATTCATATATAAATATTTTGGGAATTGTACATTTATATTATTTATGTATTGAAATTTATGTTTATTGTTTAATTAATTATTAACATCTTTTCAGGGTTTCATCCTGTGTCATTCCATTGCTGGAGGTACTGGGTCTGGCATGGGATCATATCTGTTGGAGAGACTTAACGACAGGTATGATTTTGTAAGGTTTTAGATAGGATTTTGTAAGGTTTTAATCCATATTGATGTTGTAAGGATTAATCATCTGTCCATTTTGATATTGGTAAAAAGGTAAGTTGTCTCCAAAGATACTTACATTGTCTTTTTGCCTAGGAGAGGAAAAAAATGAACTCACATGTTTGAATCAGCATTATGATCAAAGCACTTTGATCAATGTATCATCCCTCATGTAGGTAAAAAAACATATATGGTATCTTTAGAAAGTACTTATTTTTTATGTACAGACACAGATGTGTCTGTACATATAGCCGTCATCTGCGTCTGTCGTCGCCGTCGCCGTCGTTGCCGTCG